ATGACATATCAAGCAACACTTGAAAGCTTCCACAGAACCAAAAGTTGATGTAAAGTGATGTAAAGTGTAGACTACGACAACGTGGGCAATCATGGCTACTTTTGCTTTTACCTTGCGCGGTCGTCATTTATGACTTTGAAACATCGCCCTTGCGACTACGACGTCCTACGCGGCGCCCACCTGCGCGACGAGTCACGATTGTCTCATGACATATCCCAGATTTCAGGTTGGATTTGGGTTAGTCCGCCCACAGTCCCATGACGAGGCAAACCAAGGCTATGCCGGAACAAGGCCTTCGGATGTGCACATTGTAAAACTACCTCAATTGTCCGAACGTCACACAGCTCATCAACGCTCAACAAGCGGTAGACCACAATTGCAGCCACAGTGATTTGGAGCGCTTTTATTATGTAAAATACACGCATCTAAGAACAATCTCTTTATAAAATTCTATATGGGGTTGGGGCATTATTCTGGTGACGGTCAGTCGTGGCCGATCAAATTCCCAGGAAGGGATGGCATTACTGATTTTGTGAAGGCGCTAGTCCAAGATAGGTACAGTCTTGTCCGCTACGGATGAGTGTCAGAGAAGTGGCTTGAGCGCCGCACCAGTCTTTTTCCATCAACTGTGGGAGCTAGCAGGCGATCAGAATTGGTGGAAATCTGGCTGGGGCCACGCCAAATCCAGCCGCTCTGACACGCCCCAACAAGGCGATCTGGAGGAATAGTCTGCAGCGATACTCTTTACGAGTCCTTCAGGCTACGCTACCATGCCATTTCTTTGATTTTTTCTCAATGTTGGACGACACTTAGTGCTAGAAGAAATGATGGTGACCAAATGGAATGCGTAGCCACTCCATCCCCTCCTGGGTTCCCTCACTTTGCTAAGGTTTGTAGCTCTTTCTGCACGTTTCTAAAAGAAGAAAAATGGTGGTAGTTGGGCAAAATGCCTAGTTTGGTCTGATCAGTGCACCCTCCACGGCCTCCTACATTTGTACGAGTGGCACCTTACAGCAATGACTTCATGTATGTTTTAGTGGAACACAGAACGACGCCCCACAGCATAACAATATCTATGAACTCACCACTGAAGCCGTTAATAGACCAATCGGTACGCGTGAATGGTAGAAACTGAGTAGTATCCCTGATGAATTCAAAATGATGTCAGCTGCTATCCTTATCAGTGCTGGTGTTAATTGTGAGGTGGCGATTTGCATATCTATCCACATCATCCGTGAGCCATGGCTCAACGTGTTCGTTCGGACTGACTCCTCGGCAAAATCGCCCTGATACGAATATTTTCGGTCATGCGCACCGTACACGTCGTGCTTATCCTGTACCCTACTTATGTGTGCCCTACTCATCTGACTCGCGCTATGTCTACGCTCTGTGCACCACTCATTCCCCACAACGCAAGTTTCTGCGGTACTCGATATTTTACAGCCTTCCACCTGGCGCTGTTTAGCGACGGGGGGGGGGGGGCATTTTGTACTAACATTGCTTCCCTAGTTCCGGTTTACGAATCTCACCATGGTAAAACTTGTGAACGCCTGTGAAGCTGGAGTAAGATCGTCTAGCCACCATCCTAAAACGTGTCAACAGAGAAAAGCCGAA